TTATGCCACCAACTTGATATTCATCCTAGTTTTTCTTCAGGTTTTGGAGGTTTTTTTTTTTTCCTTTTTTGAGTTAACTTTTCTCAATTTTGTAAAATACACTTACTTTCAAAGACAAAATTGTACAGCAAGAAATCTTCCTAGAAACCTTGCTTTATTTTTCATTCCTTCTACCTGTTTGTTCCTTTCTCCGATTGGAAACCTTCTTTTTATTGTTTTTGGTTTGTTTTTCCACTTTTAAGTATAAGCAAATACCTATATATTCTTTCCTTTTCTCACATAAATGATAACACAGGCCGGGTGCGATGGCTCATGCCTGTAATCCCAGCACTTTGGCAGGCCAAGGAGGGTGGATCACTTGAGGTCAGGAGTTCAAGGCTAGCCTGGCCAACATGGTGAAATCCTGTTTCTACTAAAAATACAAAAATTAGCCAGGCGGTAGTGGGGCGCACCTGTAATCCCAACAACTTGGGTGGCTGAGGCAGGAGAATGGCTTGAGCCTGGGAGGTGGAGGTGGCAGTGAGCCAAGATCATGCCATTTCACTGCACTCCAGTCTCAGCAATAAGGTGAGACCGTGTCTCAAAAAAAAAAAAAAAAATATATTATATATATATATATATATAACAAATACTTCTGCACCTTGCTTTTTTTCACTTAACATTACATCTTTGAGGCCACTACGTTTTGGTGTATAGAGATTTTCTTCATTCATTTGTAGCACTGGATCCTAATTTATTCCCCTAATTCTCTATTGACAGACATTTGGGCGTTTTTAATCTTCTGTAATTACAAATTTATCCCAAATATATAACGTTGTGTTCTCTTGGCCACAAAAGATAAATGCGTATTTGAGGATTTTTTTTATAGACAAAAGATAAGTGTACTTGAGGATATTTTTTCCTCTGACACAAAATATGTGAAATTTTTTCCAACACCAATCAATTCTGTGACACCAACTGGGTATCCAACAACAATTCAATTCAATTCCGACACTAACTCCCTGAGTTAGTGCAGACTCCACAGGTTAAGGGCTCAGTCCCACACACTGTCCCTACTTCAGACACCAAATGGAAGTCCGGGGCCTCCAGTACTTCTGACCGGCTTGGCTTCAAATCAGGAGTTCCCATGGCCAATAATTTGCTATAACAGCCCACAGAACTCAGAAAAGCACTTAACTTACTACTATTGGTTTATTACAAAGGATACAATTCGAGAGAAGCCAAGTGGAAGAGATGTGTAGGACCAGGCAGGGGTGTGATCTCAGCTCACTGCAGCCTCCACCTCCCAGGTTCATGCGATTCTCGTGCCTGACTCCCATGTAGCTGGGACTACAATTGTGTAGTCCAGCTAATTTTTATATTTTTAGTAGAGACGGGGTTTCGCCATGTTGGCCAGGGCTGGTCTCAAACTCCTGCCCTCAAGTGATCCACCCGCCTCAGCCTTCCAAAGTGCTGGGATTATAGGAGTGTACCATTGCCCAGCCCAATGATGCTCATTTCAATATGTCAGCCCCAGTGGATGACATCATGAAGTGGCCAGACAGTTGGAGTTATAGACAGGATCACTGTGAATGTGACAGAGATACATAAATGTAGACCAAGTTACCTAATCTGTACTAGTAAATCTGATACCACGAGTGGCATTGTTAATAGTGAGGTGATTTCCAAAATGCTGAACAACTGTGGGTGAGGTTTGAGTAACTCAAAGTACAATCTTCCCTCAATTTACTTGGTACTTGCATTCCTAGACAAATTATTGTACAACAAAACAAACAAACAAACAATAGCCCCTCTGCACGTTTATATAAAATAGTTTGGTTTCAGACATAGAGAAGTATAGACTGTTTTTATTGTGTTGTGTGAGAGGAACTGTTCTTTTTGTGTAGGACTATTTCATGTACTGCAAGATGTGTGGTATCCTGGGCCCCACCTACTGCATGCCTGGACTATCCTCTAATCATTGTGACAAACCCCAAATGCCCCCACAGATTTCCAAAGTGTCGTATTAAAAACCATCGAGTTAGATGCTGTTTTTTCCAAGTAACAGAAAAATAAACCCATACTGACTTAATTGAAAAAAATATTGATTGGCTGTTGTTTCTGATCAGTCCAGTGGTGCATCAGTTTCAGGGAAGTCTTCATCTGGGGTCAAATGGTTTTACTGTTCCATCAGTGGAGGCATACCGTAAACAGATACATAGAAAAACTGACACATATTTTATAAATTGAGACATATTTTATATAGAAAAAGAACTGAGCTATGAGAGAGAACAGAGACTAGATAATTTCTTTTAGATTTTGGTCAGGGGCTGAGTATAGTGGCTCACATCTGTAATTCCAGCACTTTTGGAGGCTAAGGTCAGAGGATCACGTGAGCCCAGGAGTTCAAGACCAGCTTGGGCAACACAGCAAGATCCCATCTTTAGTTTAAAATAGATTGGTCAGGGAAGACTTCTTGGAGGAGGTGACATTTAAGCTGAGATGTGAAGGGCAGGAAGAGCTTGGCCTGTAAAGAGTGGGGGAATAACATTCCATGTGGAACAAATAGCACACTTCACAATTTTGCTTTCACTGGTTTTATGTGGACTGCTAGACTGAAATTATATTTTACATAAAATATATTCCATATATAGATTATTCAACACACGTAAGATTCAGTTGGACAAGCCCTCTCATTATCTTAGTTTATAAGTCTTTGTGGGGGGTCTCTAAAACAGAATGGTTTATGAAACTAATTTGGGAAAGAAGAATTAGTGTGTATCTTTCTCTTATTTTTCTAAAAAAAAATACATTCTTTCACAAAATCAGTCACATTTTTCATGATTGTCACCTATACAATGACATACAGTGAAATAATTAATAACAATTTGTCTGTTTTCTCTGCATCTGACTAAATTCTGCTCATAGTTCGATATTAGCTCCAGAAGGAAAAAAAATCTTAAGAGAGCAATTGAAAATGCATTTATTGGCAGCAATTTCTATCCCTGAATGCACAGTAAGTTCTGAGCTTATGAGCCCAGAAAAAAAAAAAAAATCTTTGTGATAAATAATGTATTTGATAATGAGCAGCAAGAGAAAAAAATGTTTTCTATTGAAGAGTTCAAAATGAAATAGAGTAAGTATGGGAAAATGTTGCTCAGTATGAAGGACATCTTTTGCATCATGGATGGTTATGGGGCCAGAACAGCCGTAGCTGTTTAGTTTTTATTCTTATTCTCACCATGCCAGTCTGTGGCATATATTTTCAGACCTTTCATGAATACCAATTTTCAAAAGGGCTTAGTTCTCAGGTTCTATGACACTGGATGATTTACTTACATGACCTCATTTAACCTTTTCAACTCTACAGATAGGAAGCAATGAGCATCCCCATTTTATATATGAATAAGCTGAGACTCAGGAAGGTTAACTAACTCCCTTAGGCTCATAGAGCTCAGCTGGCGTCTGAGTGTAAATTAAATAAATAACCAGGGATTTCAAAATAAGTGTCTAAAATACTCTTAAGAACAGAATGCTTTAAGCTCCTTCAAGTGTCTGGCTTGCTGAGTGACCTAGACTCTAAGTGGAGCGTCAGCTTCCAGTTTTTGACCAAATAAAGCATCTATCCCAAAGGAATATTAAGGCATCCATTTACATTTTTCTCCCCATTATCCCATTTGTCCCTAGAGCAATGTGGCTGTTTAGCAGGTGCCAGACAGTAAATTACTGTTCTGAATGGTGCCTCAGTGGCCTAATAATAATAAGGAAGCATCTCCCACGGTTCAATCTGTAGACAAGGGAATAATTAATGTATTTATCAGAGCAGATGGATTTCAGAGGAATGTGAATCCTACTCTAGCATCTGTTTATTATTTTTTTTTCTGGAGTTTAGTGAACTGGGTTTTACAACTTCTTACCTGATTATTTTGCTGCCCTGTTTGTCTACTTCCTTCCTTCCTTTTTAAGCAGTTCTACTGTTTGCTTCAACTTTCCATCCCCTTATTAAGACCGCTGCATAGAAAACGTAGGAGGCTGGAGACAGGCAGGGAAAGTGGGGAGTGAGGAAGGGAAAACAAACATTCCAAGAAGGAACTGTTCCGTTCCCCGAGCTGACAGCGCCCGGTCTTTGTTTTGTGGTGACTGCTGCCTGGCCTTTTGGTTCCCAGGGAGTGCAGGGCAGCCGCGTGGAGCCCGGTTTACGTCCACTCCCCACTCCCCGGGGCTGGCTTTGGGGCGGGGTCCCCGTGGTATTCGCAGAGCCCGGGACGGAGCCTGGCCGGAGGCTGATAGACGCTCTCGCGGGTCGGCTGGATGAATGAAAGGTGAGCGGCAAAGGCGGTGCCAGGATCGTCCCCGGCGGGGCTGGAGGAGAACGGGACTGCGCGGAGCCTGTGGGAAGAATCTGAAAGTGTCTGTGATGGAGAGAGACATGGAAAAGGGGACGTCCCGGCGGCTGGAACTGGGACGAAGGGACGGGAACCGGGAAGGCCTGAGTTAGGGACCACAAAGGTTCTCAAGAGAAAAGTGGGGCGAGCCGAGAGGGTAACGGCGAGACAAAGAGCCGCAGCCGAGGGGATTCGTGGGAAGAAATGGGAAAGAAGCTGCCGGGAGGGCGGGCAGACGCGAAGGAAGGGGCGCGGGCGGGGAGGGGCGCCGAGAGCCGGGCGGGGCGGTGCGGGGAGCCGGGAGGCGGGTCGGGGCTCCGGGGGCCGGAGGGGCCCGGCCGGGCGCCGGGGAGGCGGGGCTCGGGCGCCGCAAAGTTACTTGGCCTGCCGCCGCCCGGGTCCGCGTGCTGGTGGCTGGCCCGCGGGAGGAGCGAAGCGGGGCTCGGCGGGCTGAAACCCGAAACCTTCAGTCCGCGAACGCGGCCGGGAGGAAGGAAGCGGCGGCGGCGGTGGCCGAGGCGGGGAGGCGGCTGGGCTGGGCCCTGAGCTGCCGCGGCGGCGGCGGCTCCTCGGTGAGCACCCGGCGTGGGGCGCGGGCGCGGGCCCGGGCTGAGAGGGCGGTCGGGATGGAGCCGGGCTAAGCTCACTGTGCGGGGCTGGAGGGCGCGGGGAGCGGGCCGGGAAGGGTCCCCGCCCCCACGGCGCTCCCCTTCTCCCCGCGCCCCGCTCCTGTCTCCGAGGACAGGTCGGGGCTGTTCTCCGGCTGCCCTGCGCCTTGATTTGGAGAGCTGGGGCTCTTTGTGGGAAGATGTTGGGGGCGCGCTCCTCTGCTGCGGCCTGGGGCTTCTTAGAGGCCCACCCCATTCTGCTGGGTGCAGCCCGCCCGGTTTCTCTGGCGCCGCCCGAAGCCCCCTACCCAGTCCGCTAGATGGGAGGGCATCGGTGCGTGCCTGGGATTCGGCCGAAGCGGGCCGCGCCCCCTGAGACCAAGAGGCTCCACGTCCTGCTCCCGGCAAAGGGTGTGGGGAGAAGCGGTCACGCCCCTCGGCTGGAATCCGTGAGGACCAGTGAGCAACCTTCTCCCAGCCGGTACTCAGGGCGCTGTCTCCCGGAACCGGGGCTGGCGGCGGGTGGCGCGCCCAGAAGTGGCTCGGCGCCGCGGAGTGGGCGCCTCTGCCCCTCAGGTCTGAGGGAGGGAGATTCGGCTGGTTTTTGGAAACGGGAGGACTTGACCAGCCCTCGGACCCTTCTGGACCAAGCTTAACCCCCGTGCAACCTTTTCACAAAGGCATATGGGATGAGAACGTCTGTTGGATCAGTGGGGTGTCTCCTGTGCTTCCCGGAGGTCTGCTCACCAGTAACCACACAGCTGCGCATTGACATCGCTTTAGATAACATCTTGGAGGCTATTTTTGCTCGTTATTGTACCTTTCATCTCTTTTGCATAGTGCTTTCGAGGGCAGCTCATTTAATCCTCCTCCCTGTGAAGCAGCGAGGAGGTGTGTGGTTTTGGAGGGAAAGAACCTCAGTTCCTTGATTGTCCAATGGAAACACTGATAACCTCAGGTGATCCTGTCTCAGTGCTAGAAGCTGGGGAAGGATGGCCATCCTTGTGACTCCTCCGTGGAGCCAGGCGTGGATTCAGCCTGGCCTCTTCTCCCCTAGTGGCCTGGACCTCCAGATGAGTTCTGGAGAGCTACTGCTTCGGGGAATAGGCAGGGAATTCCCTTATAATCTATTTCACTGCGGCCACTGAAAGCAAGGGAAAAGAGGCATTTTTCAGGCCCTCAGGGCAGAAAGAAGAGGTGGAAGGGGCCTCAGGTCACCGAGACAGAGGCTCTTCAACTGTAACTGGAGTGCATGGCACCCATTTCTGTCATTTCTTCCGGAGCACCTCTCTTCAGGTCCTCCTCCACACTCGTCTTATTTTATACTTCTCAGGTGCTTACAAGCACTTTCATATACACTTTTTTCATTCACACAACAGCCTTGTAAAGCTCTACTAGCCCAGTTGATAGGCGAGGAAACTGAAGCTCAGGAGAGATGAAGTACTCTTGCCCAACTAAGCAGCCCAGATTGAACTCAGATCTTTTGCCTCGGTAGTGCTTTTCACGTGGTTTCCTGATGGCACACAGGTGGGTCCTTTAACTCAAGGCTTCTCCCTGCCCTGTAGCTCCACCACGACATCGAGAATAGAGACCCCTCATTAAGAGGCCTGCTTGGCATTTTGGAACTAAATCCAAGGCCACAGCAATATCCAAACCGTTTTCTTTGTGTTGCAGCCTGGTGCACTGGGAGTCCTCTGAGAGGTAAAGGAGCACTGTGTGGTCTGAGGGCTGTGAGCTCACTGCATGAGTTCAGAGGAAGACAAAATGGGCTGAACTGGAACTGACCTAAATGTCAGCAGGAGTAGGTACAGTTCTGTGGTGTAAACTCCACTGCCAGCCAGGGCCAGTCAGGAAGCCTGAGTGCAGGAGGCCGGTGGACAGGAGGGCTGGGTGGGGCTATGTGCTGTGAAACCTGCCTCCACTAAGGGGGCAGCTGCAGGTGCGGCAGGGCTCCAGCACATGATTGCCTGATCTGAGTTTTGGGGGAAGCTGTAAATTTTTAAGGAAAAATACTTCATATATTTTTAAAGATAACTGATTCAAAACATTTTTTTTAATGTTCATGCAGTTTAACCAAATTATGTGTGCAGGCTGCTTGTGGCCTGCAGACTGCCCGTTTGCATTTTCTGTGTGAGACCTTGGGAAGAACTGAGTGTCATTCTGAGATGCAGTAAAGCATGACAGCAGGGGAGAAGTGATGTCTTCTTGCTGTTTTTTTCTATAAGAACAAAAAACATCATAGCCATCAGTGCTACCTGGAGTTTGGAGGAGGGATTGACTTTATGACTCCATACTTAATTCATTCAACCAGTACTCATCTATGGCTCTGTTTCTACACCAAGAGGAAAGGTTTACAACTAGTTTTTTTTTTGTTTTTTTTTTGTTGTTGTTGTTATTTGTTTGTTTTTGAGACAGAGTCTTGCTCTGCTTGCCCTGTCACCAGGTTGGAGTACAATGGCGTGATCTTGGCTCACTGAACCTCCCGGGTTCAAGCGATTCTCCTGCCTCAGCCTCCCAAATAGCTGGGACTATAGGTGTGCGCCACCACGCCTGGCTAATTTTTGTAATTTTAGTAGAGTCGGCATTTCACCATATTGGCCAGGATGGTCTTGATCTCTTGACCTTGTGATCTGCTTGCCTCAACCTCCTAAAGTGCTGGGACTACAGGCATGAGCCACTGCGCCCAGCCAAGTTTTCTTTTCTTTTTTTTGAGACTAAGTCTTGCTCTGTTGCCCAGGCTGGAGTGCAATGGCATGATCTCGGCTCACTACAACCTCCGCCTCCCGGGTTCAAGCGATTCTTCTGTCTTAGCCTCCTGAGTAGCTGGAATTATAGGCGTGAGCTTCCACCTTCAGCTAATTTTTTTGTATTTTTTAGTAGAGACTGGGTTTCACCATGTTGGTCAAGGCTGGTTTCGAACTCCTGACCTCATGATCCACCACCCCCCACCCCCAGCCTCCCAAAGTGCTGGGATTATAGGCTTGAGCCACCTCGCCCAGCCATGACTAGTTTTAATCTATCTCCTTGCACATTTTATGTGCTCAGCAGGGAAGAGGACGAGATTCATGGCAAATATTCAGGGAGTGCTGGAACATAAAGGAAGGAATTTGCAGTTGGCCAGGAGTAAAACATGAGGAGGTATATTTCAATTTTATTTTGATTTGTGTTTGTTTTATACTCAAGCAATGGGTGAGAGAACACTGTGTTAAGAGCACAGTCTGAAGTTAGCCAGCCTACCTCCCAGCCCTGCCCCTTATAAACTTATGACCTTAGGTAAATAAGGTAAAGCATTCATGGAATATAGTAATTTTTCACAGATAAGAGCTATAAAATATTTCAAAAACACAGTGACATATAGGAAAACAAATTTCCCTCCACCTCCTCTATTCCTTCTTCCCACCTTTGAGATAACCACTGTAAATGTATATTTTTTTAGGTCGTTTTCAATGTGCTCAATATGCTCCCAAATCTGGAAACATAGGTGAATATATAGTTTATTGATATTATAATATAACACATGATAAAATAGTATCATTTACATTTCTGACTTTAGGACCAAGCTGAATATATTGAATATACTTGAAAAAATACACAAATGAAGCTGGGCACGGTGGCACACACCTGCAGTCCCAGTTACTTGGTGGGCCAAGGTGGGAGGACCACTTGAGCCTAAGAGTTCAAGTCCAGTATGGACCACAATATAGTAAGACCCCTGTCTGTTAAACAAACAAACAAACAAAAACATAAATGGGGGTCATATATAATAATGCTCTGTGGTTTACTTTTTTGATTTAACAATATGACTTAGGAGTCATTCAATAACAGATATATTGTACTTCATTCTTTTCAATAATAACATAGTATTTTATAGTATCAGTTCCCTATAAATTAATTAAACATTCCCCTATTGATGGACTCTTAGATTGGCTTCCAGCTTAATCTAGATTTTCTGTGTACCTTTATGAGTATACATGTACAATATTTCTGGGTAAAAATTGTTCCTAGATGAGGGATTTGTGGGTCAAAGGAAATATACATTTTAAGTGGTTATTTAATCAGAGTTCCCTTTGTTTATTGAGGTTTGGAAGATTGTGTAGGAAGACACTGAATTATTTACTGTATTTATTTAAGGTTATTTGTTTGAGAATAAGTAGCGAATTGGAAAGGTATAGCATTCAAAAGTTATAAAAGGCAACATCTCCCTCCCACTCCTCCTTCCTAGCCCTCTTTTTTCTTTTTTGGATATAACTAATTTTACCAGTTTTTGTGCATTCTTTCTGAAATAGCCCATGCACCTACCAGCAAATAAAATGTGGCTTCTGGGCTGGACACAGTGGCTCATCCCTGGAATCCCAGCACTTTGGGAGGCCGAGACAGGTGGATCACCTCAGGTCAGGAGTTCAAGACCGGCCTGACCAACATAGTGAAACCCTGTCTCTACTAAAAGTACAAAAATTAGCCAAGTATGGTGGCGGATGCCTGTAATCCCAGCTACTTGGGAGGCTGAGGCAGAAGAAGTGCTTGAACCTGGGAGGCAAAGGTTGCAGTGAGCTGAGACCACACCATTGCACTCCAGCCTGGACAACAGGAGTGAATCTCCATCTCAAAAAGCAAACAAACAACAACAATAACAAACCAAAAATGTACCTCTGTTTTCTCTCTTTCAGAAATAAATATAATAGCATATTATATGCCCTGTTCTACATAGAGCATTAAAAATGTTTAACCTAGACCTTTGAGACAATTTTTTGTAAGCTATTTGCATTTTGTTTTTTATTTTATTTTTTTGAGATGGAGTCTTGCTCTGTCACCCAGGCTGGAGTGCAGCGGCATGATCTCGGCTCACTGCAGCGTCCACCTCCTGGGTTTAAGTGATTCTTCTGCGTCAGACTTCTGAGTAGCTGGGATTACAGGCATGCGCCACAATGCCTGGCTAATTTTTGTATTATTAGTAGAGATGTGGTTTCACCATATTGGCCAGGCTGCTCTCGAACTCCTGACCTCAGGGGATTTTCCTGCCTTGGTCTCCCAAAGTGTTGGGATTACACATTTGAGCCACCATGGCCAGCCAGTTATGTGCATTTTAAATGTTTATGTATTCTTCCAAGTTTATCCTAAATCGATTGCTTACACTTCCTCTAATTGCTCCATCAAATTCTTTGCCAATTTTTTTTAATTGAATTGTTTGTAATTTCATCAATTTGTGAGGCTCTTTCTAAATTCTGTACTTTAATCCTTTTGTTGTTAATAAGTCAAATATCTTTATGTCTTCTTCCCCAACTTTGCAGAAGTATTTAATTTTTATGAAGTTAAACCTCTACCATTTTTCTTTGTTTCCAAGTGTTCTGTCTTACTTAGGAAGTCCCTATTTCTTTTTTTTTTTTGAGACGGAGTTTCACTCGTTACCCAGGCTGGAGTGCAATGGCGCGATCTCGGCTCACCGCAACCTCCGCCTCCCGGGATCAGGCAATTCTCCTGCCCCAGCCTCCTGAGTCACTGGGATTACAGGCACGCGCCACCATGCCCAGCTAATTTTTTGTATTTTTAGTAAAGACGGGGTTTCACCATGTTGACCAGGATGGTCTCGATCTCTTGACCTCGTGATCCACCCGCGTCGGCCTCCCAAAGTGCTGGGATTACAGGCTTGAGCCACCGCGCCCAGCCGGAAGTCCCTATTTCAAGAGTAAAATTTTCTAAATTTTCTCTTTTCTCTCCATTCTTTCTTTGCTTTTCTTCATTTAAAAATATTTCAAATTTCTTTTTTTCCTGTATTCAATTTCTCTCCTTGTCACTTTAGCCAATCTATATTTTCTTTGATTTTCTAGCAACTTCTTTTTTCTTTTTTTAACCAAGTCTTAAGGATGAGCTGTTCTCCAGGTGGGTGAGGAGGGAGAGACGGCATTCTGGGCAATGAGAACAGTGTGCAGAGCCATGGAGCTGAGAACAACAGTGAGTGTTTGGAGAACCGTGAGCAATTTGGGAAGGTCAAGGTGGAGGGTATCTGCAAATGAATAAATCCTGCAGGTGGTAGAGAATAGCCTGAAATGGTCTGGCTTGTGTAGGGGATAATCAGTCTGGCAACAGTTGGGAGGGGAGATTGGTGCTGGGCGACAAGATTGAAGATAGGAAGAAGAGAGAAATGCCTGTTAGTGGTCCAGGGGAAAAATGATGAGGCCCTGAGCTGGGTTAATGGCAGTGAGGATGAGGTTTTCCCTTAGAACGAGTGATGCACTGGATGTCTGTGATAGGAAATGGAACCAGGATTTATTGCTTTACACACATTCTCTCATTCAGTGCTACAGAGTCAGTATGGAAATCCATGGCTCAGACATGTTCATTAATCTACCCATGGTGACACAGTCAGAAAGTGTCAATCAGGGCCTATGCCCCATCAGGATTCCCTTAAGGAGTGGCCTAGGATGTCCTAGGTTTCTCTCCTGAGAGATTGGGTGGGTGGTGATGTTTTATCTAGGGTAGAGAAAAACGTGAAGAATAGCACAGTGGGATGGCAGCAGCAGAGATGTGAATTCCATTTTGTGCACGTTACATCTGAGGTGCCTGAGTGTGACATATGGGAGACAACATCTACAAGGTGGGTGGATATGAATCTGGAGCTCCAAGGAGTTTCTAGGCTGTACATGAAGATTTTGGAGTCACCGGTGTTTAAGTGGGCATAGAGAGGGAGCATATAGAGAGAAGAGGTGTCAGATAGGACTCTTTCTTTTGCAAGTGGTAGAATATCCAGTTCAAATCTACTTAAGCAAAAAGGAAAGCTATTGGCTTGTGTCATTAAAATGCTTGAGTG